AGTCAGTGTATGCTGTTTCCTTAGACTGTGTCTATTGTTTCGTTAGTCAGTGTATGCTGTTTCCTTAGACTGTGTCTATTGTTGCGTTAGTCAGTGTATGCTGTTTCCTTAGACTGTGTCTGTTGTTTCGTTAGTCAGTGTATGCTGTTTCCTTAGACTGTGTCTATTGTTTCGTTAGTCAGTGTATGCTGTTTCCTTACACTGTGTATACTTTTTCCTTATACTGTGTCTATTGTTGCGTTAGTCAGTGTATGCTGTTTCCTTAGACTGTGTCTGTTGTTTCGTTAGTCAGTGTATGTTGTTTCCTTAGACTGTGTCTGTTGTTTCGTTAGTCAGTGTATGCTGTTTCCTTAGACTGTGTCTATTGTTTCGTTAGTCAGTGTATGCTGTTTCCTTATACTGTGTCTATTGTTGCGTTAGTCAGTGTATGCTGTTTCCTTAGACTGTGTCTGTTGTTGCGTTAGTCAGTGTATGCTGTTTCCTTAGACTGTGTCTATTGTTACCTTAGTCAGTGTATGTTGTTTCCTTAGACTGTGTCTGTTGTTGCGTTAGTCAGTGTATGCTGTTTCCTTAGACTGTGTCTGTTGTTGCGTTAGTCAGTGTATGCTGTTTCCTTAGACTGTGTCTGTTGTTTCATTAGTCAGTGTATGCTGTTTCCTTAGACTGTGTCTATTGTTTCGTTAGTCAGTGTATGTTGTTTCCTTAGACTGTGTCTATTGTTTCGTTAGTCAGTGTATGCTGTTTCCTTAGACTGTGTATACTGTTTCGTTAGTCAGTGTATGCTGTTTCCTTAGACTGTGTATACTGTTTCGTTAGTCAGTGTATGCTGTTTCCTTAGACTGTGTCTGTTGTTGCGTTAGTCAGTGTATGCTGTTTCCTTAGACTGTGTCAATTGTTTCGTTAGTCAGTGTATGCTGTTTCCTTAGTGTACCTGTTGTTTCGTTATGTCAGTGTATGCTGTTTCCTTAGACTGTGTCAATTGTTTCGTTAGTCAGTGTATGCTGTTTCCTTAGACTGTGTCTATTGTTTCGTTAGTCAGTGTAAGCTGTTTCCTTAGACTGTGTATACTGTTTCGTTAGTCAGTGTATGCTGTTTCCTTAGACTGTGTCTATTGTTTCGTTAGTCAGTGTATGTTGTTTCCTTAGACTGTGTATACTGTTCCGTTAGTCAGTGTATGCTGTTTCATTAGACTGTGTCTGTTGTTTCGTTAGTCAGTGTATGTTGTTTCCTTAGACTGTGTCTGTTGTTTCATTAGTCAGTGTATGCTGTTTCCTTAGACTGTGTCTATTGTTTCGTTAGTCAGTGTATGCTGTTTCCTTAGACTGTGTCTATTGTTTCGTTAGTCAGTGTATGCTGTTTCCTTAGACTGTGTATACTGTTTCGTTAGTCAGTGTATGCTGTTTCCTTAGACTGTGTCTATTGTTTCGTTAGTCAGTGTATGTTGTTTCCTTAGACTGTGTATACTGTTTCGTTAGTCAGTGTATGCTGTTTCCTTAGACTGTGTCTGTTGTTTTGTTAGTCAGTGTATGTTGTTTCCTTAGACTGTGTCTGTTGTTTCATTAGTCAGTGTATGCTGTTTCCTTATACTGTATCTATTGTTGCGTTAGTCAGTGCATACTGTTTCCTTAGACTGTGTCTATTGTTTCATTAGTCAGTGTATGCTGTTTCCTTAGACTGTGTATACTGTTTCCTTATACTGTGTCTATTGTTGCGTTAGTCAGTGCATACTGTTTCCTTAGACTGTGTCTATTGTTACCTTAGTCAGTGTATGCTGTTTCCTTATACTGTGTCTATTGTTGCGTTAGTCAGTGCATACCGTTTCCTTAGACTGTGTCTATTGTTGCGTTAGTCAGTGCATACTGTTTCCTTAGACTGTACCTGTCGTTTCCTTAGCTTGGTTCCTCTCGTTTTCCCAGCTTTTATATTCTTCTATCTGATAAGCTTTGTATGATTGTTTACAACGGAAGTGTTTTCAAAATATAATGATTTTCACTACTTTAAGATAACATTTTTACTGATTAAAACAACTGTATATAATTTATTTATTTCACAATACCTTTTCACTTGAATAAATCTCTTGTTTGCGCTGACGGGTCGTTATCATCGTATCATGATGAAGAAGAGCTTTATCAATTAACAATGAGACAGGTATGGCATTCGTGTAAGATAGTTGTAAATAGTATGCTATTTATATCAGTTCAATGGGAGGTAACTCGGAGACTTTGATAGAAATTTGACGGCCATTAGATAGAACGTCTTACCCGTGACATGGCGTCTTACGCACCCAAATTGTACAACGACTCATGAATACCACATTTCATTACAAATCTAAACATGATACAGTAGAGAAAAACAATAACTTAAATTGCATCATACAACTGGTTTGTCCTTTTTGGACTCGTTAATGAAAGGGTCTTAATTTTTATACATGTACCTAACAGACAATTACCTCAGGAACACTTTATTAAATGAGAATCAGCATAGAGTACGTGATACACTTGCCCAATGATTAAACCAAGTTTTTTTTTTTTTTATAATTCTGATTCAATTCAGAAGAACAACAATAAATTAGATTATATTGTTAGTCTGTTACTATTCGCGGCATGCAGGTTGCGGCAAGATATGATCGAGCGAGTTAAAAAAAAGATAGGTTCGGACAATAAATATTACAATCAGCAAGTAAGCTATGACGCGAAATGTGATCAACAAATTTGAAAGTCTGTTTCCATTTCAATTCTTGTTCTACCAATCAATAATGTATTGCTTTCTCTGTAACGGGCATGAATTTGGCAGTCAGTGTGGACATAGAGATTACGCCCGTCGTCTGGGAAACAAACAATACCATTCCTGAATTATCTTATTTTCTCATTACTCTGTCTAAACCTCACGTGAAAGTCAGTGAAACATATGTCTGTGCCTTATTTCCCACAGAAATATAACACATGATACTCAGTGAAACATATGTCTACCTTATTTCCCACAAAAATATAACACATGATAGTCAATGAAACATATGTCTGTACCTTATTTCCTACAGAAATATGACACATGATAGTCAGTGAAACATATGTCTGTGCCTTATTTCCCACAGACATATAACACATGATAGTCAGTGAAATATATGTCTGTACCTTATTTCCCACAGAAATATAACATGATAGTCAGTGAAATATATGTCTGTACCTTATTTCCCACAGAAATATAACATGATAGTCAGTGAAACATATGTCTGTACCTTATTTCCCACAGAAATATAACATGATAGTCAGTGAAACATATGTCTGTACCTTATTTCCCACAGAAATATTACATGATAGTCAGTGAAATATATGTCTGTACCTTATTTCCCACAGAAATATAACATGATAGTCAGTGAAACATATGTCTGTACCTTATTTCCCACAGAAATGTAACACATGATAGTCAGTGAAACCAGGGACGTCCCTGGTGAAACATATGTCTGTACCTTATTTCCCACAGAAATATAACACGTGATAGTCAGTGAAACATATGTCTTTACCTTATTTCTCACAGAAATGTAACACATGATAGTCAGTGAAACCAGGGACGTCCCTGGTGAAACATGTCTGTACCTTATTTCCCACAGAAATATAACACGTGATAGTCAGTGAAACATATGTCTGTACCTTATTTCTCACAGAAATGTAACACATGATAGTCAGTGAAACCAGGGACGTCCCTGGTGAAACATATGTCTGTACCTTATTTCTCACAGAAATGTAACACATGATAGTCAGTGAAACCAGGGACGTCCCTGGTGAAACATATGTCTGTGCCTTATTTCCCACAGAAATATAACACATTATAGTCAGTGAAACATATGTCTGTACCTTATTTCTCACAGAAATGTAACACATGATAGTCAGTGAAACCAGGGACGTCCCTGGTGAAACATATGTCTGTGCCTTATTTCCCACAGAAATATAACACATTATAGTCAGTGAATCGTGTCTTTAAATTCCCAACTAATTTCTAGAGAATCAGTGAATAAAAAATCTGCCCATCGAAATATGGCAAATATATATATAAACAATGAATCATATGTACATGTCTATAAAATTTCATATCAAAATATGAAATATCGAGCGTGTATTCGATGTTTTCTATGAAGGAACGATTGGAGAAACCATGGACTTCGACAGGTCCGTAAAGAAACAAAAAGAAACTCGGATCAGCTGCCGTAAACGAACCTAAGTCCGTGGATACATCACAAAGTTCTTGGTTACTTTTTCGTTCAGTTTCTTTAATTTCTTCCTTTCGTTTCGAAGCCGCCCAGATGTACTGTCGAACAGTCTACCAAATGAGATACAAAGCGAGATGTTCCTGGCCACATTTATTTATAGTCCTTATTTTGTGTTCTTAGTTGATCCGTTTTCCAAATAACCGTACATCTAGCAGGCTCGTAAAACTCTGTGCTATTCTGTATGATAAATTGTAATGCAAGTGTTAGGCCACCCATATTTGTACACGTATTTTAGTCAAGTCTCGCTGTTCTTATTTAGGTGCTTAGCCTTATTGTTATTAATGTTTAAATCAAATTCAAACTTATGTTATAAGGCCAGGTTGATAGGGGCTCGTCCAATCATGATCCCTGTCCGAAGACACCCTGAGCTTGTCTGAATGTTTTGTTACGTGACGCGGAATAAGTTCAATCCTCTTATCATTTAGTTTCCTAGTTGATCGTCAGTAAAAGTAGCGTAGCATCGTGTTCTGGCATGATCTAGAGGAGGAAATGTAAAAATTCATACTGAATTTTAAATCCGTTGCTAAAACTACCTTGCAAACTTGTATCGGGTTTTGAGAAACAAACCCCGCCATTTCCAAGTCCCGCCAATCAAAATCGATTGGATTGTCTCCCCTTACAGGAAGAACTTACATTAATCACGAGAGGGCTCTTATTCTCTACTTCCTAGATTGCTTTACAATCAACACACACATCTTGACCATCTGGCATTTCTAGGTCAACGATTACAGGTGCACATGCAGCGAATGACGAACCATTAACATAATTGACGTGGAAAAAGGCCGTTCACGATGACCAATCGGATATAAGGTACCCGCTAATAGCATACCAAGATATGTTGCATGAAAATAACTGTTGTTGACTACTAGACTTGCATATTCCATGCTATCGCCTTCGAAATATTTGTATAGTACTAATGGGTATTGATTCTATTAATATTTGCAAGTTTCTGATTGACACAACTACCAATGTGATTTTTGTGTATTACTTGTTAATATATCCGTTCATTACAGATGGTTTACCATTCGGGTGTTAATTCTTTGAATAGCTTTCAGAATTTGGTAGTTTCATAGCATGTCCCCAGTTTGACGTTTATTGATTTGATCATAGTATTTCCACAGATCGCAGTATTTAGGAGTTGTTGTAGTAATTATAAGGGCTAATGATTTAACACTGATGTCCTACCCACTATACTATGTGCTATTTTTTTAACATTGTGACTAAGATAATTGAGATACACAGAACTGAACCCCTAAAGAGTCCATATCAACTGAATTATTGATAAGCTCACCAAGAGTATGTATAGCTTACTGTTGTATTTGTATATATAGTCTCACTCTTGTGTTGATGATTTCTCTACTCTAGCTTGTACACTGGTTCATTAATCATATTTTTTCATCAATTTGGAATAGAGTTTTTTTTTTATAATTATATTGTAAGGATTATAACAGCTGAGATGCAACCTTTCAGGAGAGCACTGCAAACTTTAGAAATAATGCTAAAAAGCACATTATTTTATGTGACACAGATATTATAGTACAGGACTTATTCTTCACTGTTTTGACTTGTTTATATTTTGAGAGCCTGCTATCATCTCTTAATCTAGTGTTAATTTTTATCAAGGGGATCCTTAATTGATCAACACCAAGAAAGAGATCTTTGCTCTTGATTCACTTGAGAGATCTTTTGAAAACAGAAAGATAATTAAGTACACAATAAAAAATAAGTCATTAATCCCTGATAATCAGAACAACTTCTGCTTTGATAAAGGTACAAAATCATTAAATTACATATGTTAGTGTTTATATATACTGGTCCCGAACTTTGATTTTGAGGGTACATTCAGTCATAAACCACAAAGATTTTCCCCAAAATTTAACAAGTTTTAAGTCGAGCTTAGTTTTCAATGGTGTCCACCTGTGAATAGGTGCATGAAAAATTCTATGTAATTGAAACAGAGAAAGACATATTCTGTCATGTGCCCAAACAGCAATCAAGTCCTGGTCCCAAGCATAATAATCTACAACTCAGCAAACTGTGTGAAAAACACATGTTCCATCAATAGACTGACAGTGACTATATTAACACTTGGTACAAATACACTGACTTCTTTTACACTATATGCTCTTCCCGAATGCCAAGTAAGATTTTAGTGACTGGAATCAAGTCTTGGTTGTCTGCATGATAATCATTGGCTCTCCCAAAACGTAGAAAGTATTTAACACTATATATGTACAAACCTTACTGACCCATTCCTTTTACACTTTACCTTGTGTTTTTCTGTAGATTTCAAAAAATTATGTCAGCCCTCAAGTCTGAATTCCACAACCCATTAAATTTTTTGCTGGGTGTGAATGTGACAAAACAGGGAAAAATGCATTCCTGAGTGCCAATAACTGCCATGACATGAATCCAAACTGTGTCCCTTGCATTATAACCAAAACTGGTGAGGAAAATTCCATATACGTCGAAGAGCATAGATCATATTTAATATTCTATTTTATGCTACTCCTAGTATGTTTTTCTTGAGATTTCTCAAATATCAACTGTAGTGTCTACATTTCACAACCCATAAAGTTTTGTTGAATGCTATCATGACAGAACAGGGAAAAAGGCATTCTTACACAGTGTTTCAGATTGGGCCCGGCCATCGACCAATGGGCGAAAAAAAAATGAAAATGGCCAAAAAAAAAATGAATTTGGGACATATAGGCCCTTAGTATTTCAGGTTTTCAGACTAAATGGCCGATAAATTTTCCATTGAATAAGACATCTGATGATAAATTTCAGCAATTAATCAGTTCGTCAAAATACTCTCATTCAAGGCCTAACGAACACAGTTCGACTGGATTCCGACTATCTATTCTCTGAATGCATGTCATGGAAGCGCTTCTTAATCTTTCACTCGGAACACCTCGCCTAACCCTTCCAACGTAGTTTCTAAAGAAAACAACGAATGGTATTCCGAACGTTTCTATCGCTCAGACGCTTGAAATAAAAACAACATGGCGCCGAAGAAACGAAAGTACATTGAAGAGGGCCAAAAAATGTTATTTTCTTGCGGTGTTTCTAGACCAACACCGGAACAGGACGAAACAATTATAATTGCCAAACAAGAAGAAAATAAAACCACATCAGCCAGAAAATTTCAGCAAAAATGGTTACAACAATTTAAATGGCTGATGTACTCTACCACTGTGACTGTCTTGTGCATAAAAATAAATGTTTATCGTTTGAGTGTGGCCTAAATGTTTTTTGTTCTTTCGGACAAAATGGCCTTAGAAAATTTCAGTCTTTAGGACATCTGTCCTAAAGAAAGCTGGGCCAATCTGAATCACTGCTTACAAAAGTGCCATATGCAGTGACAGAAATCAAACCATGGTCCACAGGATAACAATTCTTGCCTTTAGAGATTGAGTTAAGGAAATTAGCTGTAAGCTGGGTAAATCTATGCACAACATGTCATGTAAAATATAGCTACATTTTGCATTTTCTAATTCTGTAAAGTGTCAAATTATTGATTTTTTTTTCAGGGCCCTAAGCACCAGATGGAAATTTTACTCCCCTTTTAATAAACCTGTCTACATTTAAATGTAAAGTTGATGTGGCAAAATATTTACTGTTAAAACTATCAGGGAGCTTGACAGCTGATATTGATTATATTCCGAAGGATTTTGTAATACATTTCAATTTTTATTGAAAGCATTTATAACTTTCATACATTCATGTCATAGTTTTGATATACATTTGAAATGTATGTACATGTATATGCTGATTGACTGAAAAAGGTGGTTAGTAATATGCATAATGCATGATATATCAGTGTTGCCTTGCTGAGAAAAACAAATTTATGATTAAAAGCTTTCCTACAACTTCCATGTATCAGCATATTAAGTGTATAGTTCAAAAGGTCAAAAATCAGTCCTTGTTGAGGGCTATACATGACTTACCAAGTCATACTATGCATTTTGTGTAAATACAAAATGTTGATTCACTTAAATTTCTGGGAAAAAGAGAAGATGGTCATTTTGAAGTAAATGTATTGAGATGCTTCCTATAGCTGATACATAGTAGATAACCCTCGTTTTGCTTTAGAAAAATATTGCTGGGAACCATCCAATAATGTGCATTGTAAACTGATATACAATGTACATAAAACACATTACATTGCTGCAGTGAAGCATTGTACCTAGTGTGTGGCGCTGTCGGTTTGTCCTGGTAATGTATAGAGATTTATATTCATGTAACATTGGAAGTCCACTCACTCATGTCATTTAATTGACTGTGTCACCAATAAGGTACACATTGTGTGTGTAACTTTCACTCTGATAAGTATCATAATTGTATGTATTTTTTGGTGGAAGTTAAAACTGATAGACCAGTGGAAGTGCAATATATATATAGTACAATTACATATATTGTACAATTACATGTATAAATTGCAAGAGAAACTCATTGTTTAACAGAATCCACTACAACGTTGCTAATTGATTTGATTTTCGTGAGACCTATTTAGTAATCAATCTACAATTTATTTTCATGAGTCCCTTTCATTACAATTAAGTATTTCTAGGAATTCTTTGAGTCCCATTAAAATTGTATGAGTAAGAGACTTGAGGCTCACATGTAGATTTATCACTACCTGTTTAAAGATATGATAAAGTGTTATACATGTATTTCATATAAATTATTACACGTAAAACAAAACATGAAAGTCAAGTTGGCTTTGTTGAAATAATTTGTTGACTAACAACTACATTCATAATGATTTAAGAAGGTGTGTGTTTTAATCAAAGGATATCTCTTTATTCACATATACATGGAATATAACCAAATTATCTATAGTTCCATTTAAAATTCATTGTCATTTCATACATTATTTCTAACCACATGCATAAGCATTGATCTGTTTTTGGTGGGCATTCATGAACATATGAATGCCAGTAGAATAAGGACAAATTTGAAGATGTGTGTCATTTATGTTAAGTTTACCTGTATCCAGTTAGGATTCATAATGTTAGAAAATGTCGACTCAAAGCAGTTCAATGCTTTTTCATTTTGTTAGAAGGAATGACAACCTCATTGTTTTATACCCCTCACAACAATGTTAAGGAATTTTTACTGGAATCAGCATGTCCGTCTGTCTCTAAATGAAATTTGTCTGTCAAATCGTTTACTAAGTTTACAAGGGATCCTTTTGAAATTGTGTGAATGGTCTGAACAGCATGAAGATGTGTACTCTGAAGTGACTTTACATTTTCCTCCCATTTCAGAGAGTTATCCCCTTATATATTAAAAACGAACCCAGTTTTGTCTGACATTCACTCAGTTTGCTATAGATCTTTTTAGAAATTTATTGGGAATGGCCAGTACAGTATGAAGATGTACTGTCTGCATTTAGTTTTTATATTTAGCTCTGCTGAGTGTGCTGTCATGTAGTTAATGATGGATTTAGAAGGCTGGTATTTTGCATACTATTAAGTCAAATTTAACAAATGATTAGTATTTTTCAAATATTTGCCATGCTTTTGGACTTGGTTTTTTATTTTTAAAGTCTGTTTTCTAATATAAGTTTATGCATTTAGTCATATTCTTCTTTTTGGATGTTCAGTCGACATGAAGGTTACACCTTGGTTGAACCATATAACATATACAGTAATACATGTTTTTTCCTCATTTAAACGAGAATGAATTTTCCCAATTTACGGTCCTTTTTGGCTAATTCAGTTTTCCAGAGTTAAGCTCTGCTTGGTGATTTTTGCATAGTTGATAAAAGATTTAGAATGTTTATTTCTTGTTTTCTTTCATGT